TGAGGTCCCCTCCTGGGAGTATCTCAAAGTCGGGTGCAAGCGCACATGCACTGATGACCCGGTCGTACTTGCTCGCGCTGTATCTTTTGTTAAACGTGATGTTGTCCCGCAGTGTAGCATTCTGTATCCACGCTTGCTGAGCCGCGTACGCCACAGAGCCCTATAAACAAACCAACATATAAAAATCGCAACACAAACCGCAGCACCGCCAAAAACGCATCGGATCATAGCTCAGAATTGCTACATGAAACACTAGATCAGTGGTTCTTAACGTTTTTTGAATTATGGACCCCTTTGAGAATCTGGTGAAAGCTACGGACCCCTCCCCAGAACGAAAGTGTCAATGACACTGTAGCTCACCTTGGGTGTGATAGAAGAGGGAGGGGGGATATATAAAGCAAGAGTATATATGGGAGAACTCCCATTATATAGCATATCTCCCATTATATACTCTTGATAATAATATATGCATAAGTTTTGATGCGAAAATAAATGTTTCAGATCTGAAAGTCTGAAATCTTGACCGTAGACGTACGGACGGACGTACGATGGACGACACCCCATAACAATAGGGGCGTGTACAGGATTTGTACAAGGAGGGGGGTCTAACCGTAACACAAACTTGCGAGCACGCGAAGGGGGGTCTGGGGGATTGGCCCCCACAGAAAAATTTTGAAATTAGACCCCCTTCATTTTCTGCGCAAGCGGGGGGGGGACCCCCTGGACCACCCCTGTACAATAGCTTGACGATGTCAAGGCGAGCTAAAAATGACTTACTCTTCTTCATTGGTGCTAGTGACCTCTTGCTAGCATGTGTGTACGGACAGTTCAGTTTTGTGCACTTGGAATCGTAGACGCAGTTCGGGTGTATGTATAGGCACCGATCTCCAAACGTGCAGTTTGGAAACGTTCTACGAAAGCAAACACAAGTTTTCAACATCAAAACCATATTCTACATCCAAACGCAGACAATGGAAGGGGGGAGGGGTTTGGAACGAAGTTGTAGAAAAAATAAAATTACAGATATTGCTTATGCTTCACAAAGTTGGGCAAATTGAAATTAGAGCTATTTTACCATTTTTTATTTGTTGTACACATGCCATTATTAACTTTTTTAATAACCTGATTTAATGTTTTTTTTTCTACTATTGATAATTATTCAGATAAAAAGACCTCTACTAAAAGAAAAGCCACTGAGATACCTTACATGATTGAACGACTACATCAATAACTACGAATTGTTTTGCTCTATACGCCTTCACGTACTGGTATTGCATTCCGAATATTCTTGCATTGACTATTTTATAGATAGACGTGAGTTAATTAATAGTACCTGCACTGTATTGTAGGGTGATGATATCTACACTGGTCTCCCTGCTTGCATGCTGGCCAAAACTTACACCTTTCTGCAGGTTTTGCTTGCTTGGACGGCTTACGAATTTGTTGTTCTTCATCTTCTTCAAGTAAATCACATACGGCGAATGAACAACGATCAGTTACATAGAGTCGACATCAGACAAAATCGAAGTTCGGGACAGACAAACTAGGTAGAAGAATGCGAGTGAAATTTCAGCAGCGATGTTACAGTCAGGGCCGGACTGGCAATCGGGAGCACCGGGAGTTTTCCCTGTGCCCTGGCCTGCTAAGTGGCCTGCCCAAAAAATATATATGCACTAAAATTCACCAGAATGCATAGAATGAAGTCGTTCTACGTTGTAACAAAGATTTTCCTGGTGGGGGAATCCCGGGACCCCCAGACCCCCCGCTTAAAAAGTGGCCTGACTGGGGCTATATTTCCAGGCCTGAATGATTTTCCCAGTCCGGCCCTGGATACAGACGATTACGTTCTCTTTGTGGCGAGCTGCCGGGTTTAGCAGCGCTGTTCCGAATTACCTTCCGAGTCGTCGTTGATGGTGAAGGAGATTGCCTCGTGTTGGGGAGCGCAGACCTTGCTGGAAGGGGAAACAGCTGTCTCGCCTGTGAGGACAGTCTGTGGTTCCGTGTCGGCAAACACTATCTGCTGAGATGGCTGCTGCTCACCGTAGTGTATCCCCTCTGTAAATACGTAGCTGACGTGAAGGCTCGACAGTATAGAGTGTGGTATATAGTGTAGTGGTATATATTTATTATTATTATTATTTTTTTATTATTACTAAATCTTTACTGCATGTACTTAAATTCAAGCGAAAACTGCGACGGATGCAGACCCGCCATGTTACCGTTCGGCAGGCCATAATGCGGAGTGTACTGCTGCCACGCTGTCGCAGCCGACTGCCACGACGACGTTGAAGATGGAAGATACGCTGGGAGCGGGGCGCCGTACTGTCGGTACTGCGACGTCGCCTGAAGTTCCGTTGGGTAGGCCTGCTGCACGCGCGTCGGACCGCTCTGTGGCTCCGGCTGCCAGCTGCGCTTCAGAGATATCTGTGAGGTGAGATACACAAGACGATGGGATCGCATCAGGAGTGTATAATATCCACATCCAGATAATAAATCTATTATTATTCACCCCTGATAATATATATATATATATATCAAGAGCTCATAATATAGAGAAGAGTATGACACCGTTTTAACAGCGCTTTGCATAACGCATTGTAAATATTCTATCAATATGTGAATAAATATATTCAAACTTTACCTTGTTTTCGTCTATGATTCTCCCTTAATCATTATGACACCACCAATTTACCTGAAAATCGTATGTGTTCTTCAAAAAAGTTCTCTGAATACGACACGGTTTCACACAGTTTTCCCAAATGTTCGCATGTATTCGGCGCAAGTTTATTATCGGATTAGTGTTCTATTATTGTCTATGACGGAACGCTGGGGGCTGTTGGGAATATTAGGCATCGAATTGTATTCAGCGTGTAGCGTTTCCAGCGTGCTAGAAATAAATGTGTGCTCACGGCGAGCTAGAAGCTGATTTTAGCTGTGTTGCCATCGACATCGTGTTCCTGATGATAAGGAAGCGAAATAAGTGCTGTTACTGTGCTTACCTAATATCCCCAACAGCCCCCAGCGTCCTGTAGTTACAACCTGGTGCTGTCGCCGCATATCAGCATGAGCCGAATACATGCGAACGTTTGGGAAAACTGTGTGAAACCGTGTCGTATTCAGAGAACTTTTATGAAGAACACATACGATTTTCAGGTAAATTGGTGGTGTCATATGATTAAGGGAGAATCATAGATGAAAACAAGGTAAAGTTTGAATATATTTATTCACATATTGATAGAATATTTACAAGTTGAAAACTATGCAAAACGCTATTAAAACGGTGTCATAATCTTCTCTATTATGAGCTCTTGATATATATATATATATATATATATATATATATATAATATATATATATATATTATACACTCCTGATCACGTTACAGGCTGCATGGGCAGAGGGCAATTTCAGTGCAATCTGTGGAACAATGTGTGAATCTGTGGAAATCTGTGGAGCAATCTGTGAATTGCTTTAGTGAAACAGATACAGAAAGAATTGCATCGAAATTCATGAAGAATATTGGATTCGGTTGCCAGGATAAGGATGAAGTGCACAGATCCACAATTATACGTGTAGAGACAACAATGGAGCTATGACAACAATGACTCATACTCCCGATAATGCATCGAAACTGAAAAATGTGTGAAGACTGAAGACTAACAACTAATCGTCTAGCCCTATAGAATGAATAAGCCATATCGGAAAGTCCCCGCCGCCATATTGAGATCAGATAAGAGGGGGTATAAACAGCCCTTTTATAACATGGGTAGGATAGCACTATTCTAGGTTTTTGATCTATAATTCTCTTCACTAACGCGCGAGCGTAGTGGTGGGGGCGGGTGGAGGGGGCTCTAATAGCAAAAGCAGTACCAATGTTCCAATGTTCCAATCAACAAATCCATGTTTAACCCTCCTCTTGAGGGTCAAAAGGTTAGATTTCACGGTCCTTTCAATAAAGTGATAAAAATGGTAGGTCAGCGCTGAAACAAAAAAGTTTTGTACTCGGTGCGTTAGACCATGTCCTGAGAAAATGTCTGATATCTGACCTTTCCCCCACTACCCTTTGACCTGTGACCTCCAATTTCGCGCTGGTGATGGGTTTCCTCTCCATCACTCTATACATCGAATATTAAGAGCGTAGGTCGAGCCGTTGAGATTTGTGCCGCAATTCCGTATTTCCTCCTATACCTTAAGTTTAGGGGGAAATATTCCACCTCCATCAACACATCTTGACCTTTGACCCTTGACCCTCAAATTCGACATCCCGAATCCTTTTCGCGACCCCCCCCCACCCCACCCGATGTCCCGAATATCAAGATCGTACGTCGCGCGGTTAGGATTTGTGCCACAACTGTTGACGCATGGACGGACGGAGGGACGGACGAACATTCATGCGATTCTACAAGCTGCATGTGATTTCGTCAGCTGAGCTAAAAACGCACGAGTGTTTACATTAATCATGTACTTTCCTGAGCGCGCCTCGGCCATTTTATACCCCCTTTTTCTGTGACCTACATAACACAGCTGGACTTTCCGTTCTCACTTATATAGAATGATTATCGAGTACCTTTGTGACCATCGGTTGAACTGTAGCCGTCACTGTTGCACGGGGTTGGCCTTTCTTCTTGCCATACACTTTATTTGCAAAGTCAGAATTGACGCCATCCAATGTGACAATGAAGTTTGGGCTTGCCTTCTCTCCACTGACATTGGAATTATAACTGGATGTCAACATTTGATATTCAACTATAACTTTTAAATAGTTAAAGTAGTTATATAGTTAAGTAGTTTATTATAAGTTTAAGTATTATAGTTAAGGCGAAAAAGTAGAAGCAATATAAGTTGCCCGGCTGTTATTGTATTAAGGATAACTGAAATGCATGTTAAAAATTAGCAAGTTAAACCTCAAACAGACCGTGGCTGTAGCTAGCCTAGCACCAATGCTAACATATAGTCAAACCTGTACATAAGGACCCGTCAAGGGATATGCTAAAAGTAGCCTTCATAGAATAACGTTTTTCGATGGGCTGCAGCCATTTTAAATTTGTACCAATTGACGAATATAACGTATACTATCGCCTCATATTTGTTTCATATATATCAGTAGTGTCTATGACATTGTAGATTTACAAGTTCATGTTGGTAACGTAACTTTCTATGATTATATATACTGTACATGTACCTATAATTTCATTTGCATTTTCGTGGTGATTTTTTGCTCGTGTATGCCTCAAGGTTTTTTCTCCGTAGCTGTATGCACACGTGCACGTATCGTTCATGTGATCAGACAATGTTCAGACATACTTACGAACAGTGGATTAAATTATACACGGATGAATACTATAATTTTTATTTTACACTTTCATTTGCATACTGTGAGATTCAGCTTTGCGGCAACCCGGCTAAAGAAATCAAAAGAGATCAAACATCGTTGCCTGTGACGCTTGTCCCTCTGATTGTACCACTTCTTCGACTGTCTCTTCTAAATCAATGCATTTGTTCAGTATCGCACCGTATCCCCTGTGCACCGCAAATGCTTTTATCTTATCTACACACTCGTGTAGTTCGTGCAGGCTATTTATCTCCGGTTCCTGCGGCACTGTATCGTCCTCCTCTTCCTCGTCACTTCCATCTCCGCTGCCTCCTCCGCTCTCCACTGCTCGAAGGGGCATCCCCTCCACCGTCCAAGCTTGAGCGTTGTCCGTCGTAGCAAACCACGAGTCGACTTGCACGAGATCCGTAAGTGACACGCCGAGTGCATTCTCGCAAGCAGCTTCCAGCATATCGTTCCGTCCGCTTCCCTCCTCCTCGTCGACCTCACCGTGGTCCGATCCGTGTCCGATCCCGCACTGTAGGAAACACCGCCGAATCCTCTCCGCGTCCGTATCTCGCCACGACTTGCTCACCAAGCAGATCGTCTGCAGAATGTCCGTCGCCTTCATGAGTTCCGCCGCCGCCGTCGACCCCGCCTCGCTCTCCGCTCTCCGGAGGACCCCCGCCACCTGCCGCTCGCGAAACCTCCGCTTCAGCGCGCGCACGATGCCGCGATCCATCGGCTGAATCACCGAGCGCGAGCTCTGGGGCACGAACAGCAGCTTGATATTGGTGAGCTGCAGGTCGGGATGGCACGGCGCGTTGTCGAGCAGCATCAACACGTGCCGGCCCTCGCCGCGCATCTTCTCGTCCAGCCTCCGCGTGTACACCTCAAACAGCTCGCTTGTCATCCACGCCATCTTGTTCGCGCAATAATCAACGGGAAGGTCGGTGCGATCCAGCCGGCCGAAGCATCGCGGTTTCTCCGCCTTCCCGACGACCATCGCCGTCTCCTTGTCTCCGACGGCGTTTGCGCACAGCACCACGGTGACGCGCGCCTTCGACCACTTTCCCGCCGAGCAGCCGGCGCCCTGTAGGTGGCGCACCGAGTCGGTCGTCGCCTTGAAGAATATCGCCGTCTCGGCGACGTTGTAGATGTCCCTCGGAGCGTAGCCGGCGCAGAGTTCGGCGAACATTGCAGCGCAGTCGTAAGAGGGTGCCGCCTCCACGCTCGCGCGTTCCTCGCTCACCTTGCCGAAGACGATGCTGTGTCGTCGGCGAAACGACTCGAGCCAGCCGTTCGACGCCTTGAAGTCGTCGAGGCCGAGCTGCACGGCTACCTGCCTCGCCTTCTCCTGCAGCAGGGATCCGCTCATGGGCAGCATCTGTGCGGTCGTCTCCCTCACCCACTCGTACATGAGTGAGTTCAGCTCCGCGTTGCCCGTCCGCCTGACCTTGCGTTTGCGATTCAGCGGAGCGTTCCTCTGCAGTTCCTCGATCCAGTGCTGCCTGTTCTTGAGGATGTTCTGGATCTGCGTCCTTCCGCAGCGGTAGCCCTGAGAACTGAGTGTCTCGGCGATCATGCGTGTGCTCATGCCGTGCTGCTCACACATGTAGATGACCTCTAGCTTCTTCTCCAGCGTAAGCTGATTTCGAACCAACTTCGGCGGATTCGAGTTAGTCGGCACGACAACGCAAACACCTACGTCGCTAGAACAGAATTCAAACCGAAGAGACTGCTTACCTTGAGCAATGTAAACTTGGGTAGAGTCAAATCAAACCGTAGCAGTTATAGCAAATTCTCGAGTATAATCAGAAAGTGACGACGACACGTGAGCACCGAACCACAGGGGTAGAAATTAACTTTTGAACACAGGAGTCCAACGGACTCCCTACCCTCAAAAAGAGGGAGTCCGCAGTCTGAGGTTGAAAATTAAAGATATTGACAATAACGCAGGCGCTTATTTTGAAGATTCATGCGGTTGCACGTCTACCAAATTTACTTTGGACATTAGGTAATTCCGCGAGGCCGTGTTCTAGAACTAACTAGTTAGGCAGAATTTTCAGGGAGTCGCACGGACTTCTGCATATGTCAAAATCATGAAGTCCGACAGTAAATCAGGGAGTATTTGACTCCGGACTCGCGTTAATTTCGCACCCTGGAATCATGTTGTCTATTCTTTTGTACACGATCAACTTTTGTTTATTTTATTTTGCTAGCAAATATTTGCAACATCGATTGCAATAGTGACGGACAAGCCTACGTGATAGCGATTGAGAGCTGCCGTGTACCGACCAAATCAACACGTTCAATATTTTGGTGATTAACAAAAGCAATAGGCGTTGTGTGTGTAACATTCTGGATAGAGGGTGACACTCTAAATAGTACTTGTAGTTAATTCGCCATCAGCTACGACTGCTACGTCATTAGATAATGTAGATTATTGCATAATTCAAAATTTACATTCAAGACTTCGACTTTAGATTTCGGACAAACATGCTACTGACACCTTAACACAAGTACAGAAAATAATTACACGTGGCGCATTCATCTTCATTATTAGTATTTTACCTGGAGTCACTGGTGCATACACCGTAACAACAGTGCCTTGTTGTCACCATACCGAATTATCTTCTGTACAGGTAAACAGTTAATTATGCATCCATTGGCATACCAATAACTCTGATGCAAACAGGTAGCTTAACCCACGGTTTAGCTGAATGCTTGTCCGAAATCAAGAGGGGCTAATTCTGCACACACGCACGTTTGATACACATAGACTGCCCCCTGCAATCAGTAGAAATGCTACAAGCTTTGTATCCAGGTAGTAACATAATGAGGTGCGAGTTTCAAGATGCTTCTGTACGGCAGTCAATATTTTTTCAAGTATGTGTACAAATAATGGTGATCGGTAAAAGCATTTTTTTTCTGCAACTTTTACTTTTCGTCTGTGGGGAAGGCAAGGCGGTTAATCTAGCGATCACTTTGGGGGGAAATGCCCACTGTGTGCGGTTGCAACTCGTTTAAAGGATAGAAAATCACTGACCACTGGTCGCATTTACCAGACGACAGCTCTCTGCATGGGTTATACCGCAGCATTTTTCAATGGTAAGATTTTTTATGGGCACAACAAACAGCTTGCTGTTCTAAAGAGCTGGCCATTATCACAGGTTTGACTGTATGTTAATTATTTATCTAAAAAGCGAAAATAAACTATAATTAACCTATGCACGTGCCTTTTAGCAAATATTACGTTAAAGCCGCACAATGCGCATCCAAACACTAATTTTTCCAGTACTAGACTAGCAAATACTTCGTGTCATGGATAATCACACTACCTTATGACAAAATAAACTATAGTTCCTCCCATTTCACTGCACGTTGTCTTATAAAAGGTATTTGAAAATACCTCCAATGTTGTTCAAATTCTCCGATGTTGTTGACAGTTTCCCCAAGCAACCGTGCAGCGGTGCTGCGGTACAGCGGTGCTGCGGTACAGCGGTACAGGTGTGGCAAAGATAAAAACATGTGCCGTCACCTCACCACTTCGAGGCTAAATTGTTTGGCAAACAATCGGCGTTTGCGCCAGAATGCCAGTTTTCTCACCTCTTTCTTGTGGGTTTTAAGCAAACGCGCAGTGAAATGGGAGCAACTAGTTTATTTTATCATAAGGTAGTGTGATTATGCATGACACGAAGTATTTGCTAGTCTAGTACTGGAGAAATTAGCGATTGGATGCGCATTGTGCGGCTTTAACGATATTTTACCGAGATCTAATGAGTGCGCTTATAACTTTAAAGAGATGAGTATTCACTCATCATTCAGAATGCAGGAAACCTCACCCTTTGGCTTCGACGATCCGATGTGGGATTTCGCCTTCCTCTGTGCTCTCCAGGGAGAAGCCATCGCCATCTCCACGTCTTTCCTTTTTAACGTTGACCTCGTCCTTGTCAATCTGAATGAGACGTCTATCCAGTTCCTCGCCGACAGAAACGTCTTGTATGTCTGCAGTTTGAACTTAATTATACGAGTTGCCACTTAATTATTAATAAAACCGACACGATTTCATTAGATATTGCGTGAAAGAAACAACTGCAGACATTGGAAATTGTAATACAAGCAGAAACCAGACAAAGATATTGCAAAATCTAGAGCCAGGTAGGAAGAGCCGAGCTATTGCACTCGGCATAACATAAAAAGTGCAGCAGGCCCTAATCCAAGCCATTTTTCATACTTAATACCGGCACCCAAATTAAGACCACAAAACGCCCATATTACAAAATTCATAAAACGCCCAAATTAGCACAGCTCTGAAAATTGTGAAAATTAAACCTCCATGTTTCTATCGTTATGTAGGCACTGTTTTATAATAAAATGCTCATACAAGATCTATAATCTATTATGTGAATAAAATTTTAATGTTATTATACATCTACATACATCTATGGGCCCTATACCTAAAAAATATTTTCGGCTCACTGCGCTCGCCAACGGTCCCAAAATCTTTTTCACGCTCGCTACGCTCGCCATGGGTGCCCATATTAAGCAGCTAGATTAGTCTCTAGAACAGGTGTATCACCTTCTTCATTAACCAACTCGTCACCAGACGTCACGTCCTTGCTCTCCTCAGACGGGCCAGAAGAAGGGGACCTTTCCAGCAAGGGCTTCATCTTCTCACGTCCCGCCTCCTCCGTCTCCACTGCCTCCTCCTCGTCCTCGCCGGCTTTCCGCGCATCCCCTTGACTCTCCTGTTCGGCGTCGTCGTCCTCTGAGAGTATGAACACTTCAGGTTCTTCCACTTCCTGCTTGATGGTGATCACTTCAGCAACATGGTTGCTCGCGCGCCTTTCAAAGCCGCGCGCTGTCTGTGTCGACGACGACTTCTCCATGGGAAGACCCAGTCTCTGCAGCACAGTCGGTCTAGCCTAGGTAACACAAGGGTAAAATAAAGGTAGATAGGTAAGTAACACAAGGGATAAATAGTAGGAATAATAAACAAGTAATACACATAGGAATAATACATTTACGTGTTGATGGTAACCACCGAAACATGGTCATACAACTAGAACGGGAGGATCTGGTCTACACTGGAGACATCTGTAGAAGGGTAGAAATTTACTGTTAGCCAAAGAACGCAGCAAAATGAAGGCGTTTACAGTTTGAAGTTTAAAACTGAAGATAACAACAGTAACACTTGGGCTTACACTAGAGCCATAATACAAGTAGAAGTAATAAGTGGAAAAATATGTTACTTGCTGCATATTTAAAACATGATTTTAAAACACTGAAAGCAGCATTGTATTCACCGTTTTTGTTTGTTTTTGTTTTTGGTCATGTGAGTTTTAACAGAAACACTGACACAATGTGACACTGTGTTTTTGGTGATTGCGTCACGGTGGATTTCCAACGTCAAATCCTGTAGTCTGTCCGTAAGCCAGGGGCTTGTCGTCAGAAACGAAATTAGTATTAACGTTAGTCTTAACATTAACTTTCACTTGTAGACCATTGACAGAAACATTGTAAAGTTACGAAAATAAAAAATCCTAGCAAATTTCCTCTTAACATTACGAAATCATAGACCCTGTCATAACTTTAGAAGCAAGATTAAAATAATGCAACTACACAAAGAATTGCAATTATAGTGATCACGTCAGAAACACTACTTATCTACCAATCGTGTACCAAAACCAACATTTACAAGTTGCGATTATTCTCTTGTTTTGGATATTATAACAAGTCACAACGCTTGCATTTTGTTTTGCTGTGCAGAATAAAAACATAATCATGTAAATTATTTCATCAGTTATTAATCATATGTGATTAACTATCATAACCACCATAAATTCTGGTTACATACAATAAAAGTATATGAATCTCAGGTTCATGATCGATTCTCATCCAATCCAAGTTCCTGTTATCGTAAACCTTCTCGTAGGTGCGACGTTCCGTCAATGTTATTCTTACATCATTAACATTTTAATTGTAAGTGCTAATTTGTCTTTAACGTTAACATTACGATGTTTCTGACAACGTGCCCCAGGGATAAATTGATTGCAAACACATGTTACTTTCGACCTTCTGCCACGCATCGCACAATGCAAACCCGAGCTGTTCCGACAGACTCGTAACAGCGTCGTTAACAAGCGTTTTCCACGCCAGACTTCTGCTAATAGTCTCATGCTCCTGCACCGGGAGAGAGCGGCCGCATATTGACAATCCTCTGCAACGACGCGTCCCTCTTTTCCACCCCCCCCCCTGTGATTAACTTAACGATGTTTCTGACAACGAACCTCAACGATAAATTGATTTCAAACACGTGTTACATTCGACCCCCCTGCTGTGTATCTCACAACGCAAACCTACGCTACTCCTACAGACGCGTCTACCAGCGTCATTACCAGGGTTTTTTTCACGCCGGACTTCTGACGGTCGTCTCGCCGCTTCTGCGCCGGGAGCTGCTGCTGCTGCTTACTGACCATCCTCTCCGACAACGCTGCGCTCTTTCCCGCGCGTTGAGCTGGATGCTGTCGCTTCGTAGCGGCTCCTCCCAGCCTGTCATGCACACTGCTGTGTTTCTGATCCACGGCCATCGTAGTGTGGCCTGCAGCAAAACGCGGGGCGCACATCCAAACACTGCTGTTGCGGCGGTGGGGACCTAACTCATTAAATAAGTTCATTCGGTTGGTAGATAATAGATCTATCTTGGTTAATTTTTACTCAACCATGTTGATTCAAAACGTACTGGTAGGGACCTAGTTTACTATTTTGGATTCCTGAATTTTCCAATTTTCTGCAATTCTTCGTCGCTAGTGTGAATTATTGTAACACATAAATAAACACTGCAACCCGCAAACAATGGTTGTACATTACTGTCTGAGATCCGATTCATAATCGCTATAGCTTTGGGAGACTATATTTATTGACATGCACGCTGTCGATTGGGACTAAAAATCCCACTGACCTGGTTGTATAACGGCCTTAGGTTAGAAATGGTTGCAGATTGGCCTTAGATTAGAAATGGCTGCAGATTCGCCGTAGATTAGAAATGACTGCAGATTCGCCGTAGATTAGAAATGACTGCAGATTGACCGTAGATTAGAAATGACTGCAGATTGACCGTAGATTAGAAATGCTATTCATCGAGACGCATACGCACCGGGTAGTTTTACAGCTTTAGCGATGGAGCTCTCAGCATCCGTCATCGCCTTCAGTAGCAGCGATTTGTTAGCCTGCAGGGACTTTGGCAAAAATCTGCAATGCACATTTTTAGCAGAATATTTAATGGTTATTGATTTTAATGAAAAAGCACCCGCGCGATTATTTCTAAAATGTATACATTGTGGCCATCTTTTTGCTAGCGCAAATCTTTTTAAATTATTTACTAAACAACAAACACCAAATAGAGACGATCTGTGATAGACTTTCGGCACACTGATAAACAAACGGTTTTATATTAAGTACTGATTATTATTCTAAGTACAATAAACAATACATTTAAGTGTGACAACATCTACCTTATACACAACTAGCTCCAAAATAGCACAATGTGAATACAGCAGTCCAACTATTGTTATGGTTTCAACGAGATATGTAATAAACCTTAAAACGTAATAAAATATTCATAGATACCATGGTTAGATGAATCACAGTTTTAACACCTTGACAAATTTCAATGCATTGTTATGTGATTTTGATATTTTTCATTACCTCTCCAAATAAAATCACTGAACAAACTTTTATAAGTGATAATAAACAGTAATACTCGTAACCTATATCTTTCGATTGCTTCCAATCAATGAATCGACACATGAAGAACATACCTTCTGGGAGTAACTTTAACCGTGCTAGCCACAGCCCCAACGGACGGTTTATACGGGTTGTATGCCTCTTCCACCACTTCTTCTCGCTTGATCACGCCAGCGATCACCGAACCTGGAACTTGCCGCTTCTTAGGCACTGCTCCCTGCATCGCGACGAAGCAATTTAAAATTGTCATCGATTAATTCCAATCCTAAAGCTCTACCACTGAAACTCATCACTGTAAAACTCTGCATTCTATGCGACTTTATTATGTGCAAGTGTCCCTCTCAGGTAACAATGTAACATTCTCTCACTTTCATGGTGTCCCGTTACCACTACTCACTACTGTAACGTGTTGCAGAAAGATACCTGTCTACCATTCATACACAGCATCTAGCGTATTATTCTGAGCTATAAAATATAATATAGTATAAAATAAAGTAACCGAACAAACAAAATAACCTATAGCTGATGAACACTAATGGTCACACACCTCTGCTGACTTTCCGATCGCTGTCTCGCTATGCTGAACGGCCGAAGCAGGTCGTCGAAGATCACCCCTTGTGCTAGACAGATTTCTTCTAGTCTCCATCTCTCTCCGGGAGTCCGAGCGAGTTACCTCTACCACCCTCTCGGTTCGTTCCACTGTTGCACCAACAGATGGCGCTGTGCTGGCTCCTGGTTTGTGAACACCCGAACTGGTCTTGGAAGGTACGACTTTTTGTAGAACCTTTTGCTAAAAGAGAATAATGTATGCACTTAAATAAATCTTGGTAATATCAAAGCACGAATATGTGTGCACAATCGCTTTTAGATGATTATCACAGATCGGAAAATACTTATTATGTTGTAAATTTACTTTAGTACTGATGACGCAACCATGGACAATCTTTTTCTTGATAGGTTGGTAATCTTGCTCTGCCTCGGAATCCGAGTCTATTTGTTCGCCTGTGAACACAACAAAAACAGTTGCTTACATAACACTTTCACTAGCAGTAAAATAATCCCCGATAAACATGGACACACACATACCTTCTTGATAAGGTCACACTTTATGGACCACCTTGTATTTTCTTTACCTCAGAATATTATCCTCACAGCACTATTTGTTTTTAAACAAGTCGATCCTGTATTATTGTTATATTATATTATATTATATTATATATATAATATATTATTATAATTATTATTGATTCTGTTGCTAAATACCTTCTCCAGGCTTTACATCTAGCAGCATCTCCTCCTTCTCCGGCTCTACCTCCACCTCCTCCGCAGAGTTCTCATTTTCTGATGTTGCGTCACCCTTCTCCTGCTCCTCCTCAGAATCCTCCTTGCTACTTGCTGCTTGCTCTCTGCTCTGACTTCCTTCGCCTATCTCATTCGGCAATCCTGGTCTGCTATCTAGACTTTCGCTGTCATCTGCGTCAGCATTCTCTTGTTGGTCACATGTACTCGGGTGGGCATCGGGCGACTTTGTTTGATGGGCAGTCTGCGAAACGGAGCTCTCTGTTAACTTTGAACTCGACGCGTTCGCTGACTCGTCCCAGTCCGCTCTCTTGTGTTTTTTCGAGATGGTCTTGCTCGAGTCAACTCTCTCACTCTGCTCTGCCTTCCTTTTCGATGATACATGCTCCACGTGGGTAGATGACCTGGGTTCGTGGTCTCTTGCATCCCTCGCACCTTCCGGTCTAAGTTTGTCTTTCTTTTTCTCGCTCTTTAATGTTTCTAAAAAATATTTAGAGGAACAACTTCAGTAACTAAACGTAAACTTTCGTAATTTAAACTGAATGTACACACAAATAACAAACGAACTCACACAATGCTCATATATACACATTTGACCCATGTACGACAGGAAACAACTATGTTAGGATGCAAAAAATTATTCCCCGACCATATTTACAATAGATAATATAGATTTTTATGTTTTTCTGCATGGGCAGATACTCCAATACTTGATGTGCAATATTGGCATCTCACCAACGGTAACAGACTGCAGTTTGTACAGGACTTCATGCAACCAAGTCGTGAATTTCGCGGCATTATTGCCGAGAAACAGTGCAAGGTCGTCCGTCATCTGCTGCTGTGTCTTTTTATTAGCAACCATCACCATTATGTAGTCTGGAAGCTCATCGTCTGAAACATAAATGCTAATGTACAACAAGTGACATATGTAATGCAGTATATTTGGCAGATGGACAAAATGTAGTACTGGCAGAGCGCCAGCAACATATGTCACTACGCAAGATAGAGAGAGGTCATCTTATTTGAGTACATATATTAAATATATATATATATATATATGCACATTGTCACATTTCCACAAGCCAGCAAATTCTTGTCTGAACATAAAACTGCCGTGCAACAATTTAAATTCATATTACAATGAGAATAAAATGTGTAAGGAATCTTTTCAAAATATAGTCAACATATAGAGATGTTATGGTCATCCATGATCAAATGACAATCACACTACCCTTACCTACATATGCACCAAGGTCTACCAATTTCGCCTTAATAGCATGCTGCAAATACAAAAATAACGGATTAACATATCACACGCGTGTTGGTTAATGTGGCAGCTGAATGGACTTGAGCAAAAAACTGATAAAAACAATGACTTTAGTACTAGTTACATGACTGTTATGTTCACATTAATTTCATACCAATATATTTCACACATCACTGCTCAATAACAGTTTCACGATCATTGCAAATTTTATCAGACATAAAATGATAGACAATACATTTCCACAAAGATGCCTTGCCTTCTGTTAACCATCGTGAGGGGGATAAGCGCAAGACATGCAGTTAGCTTACTTTGTATATTAGTGTTGTCAATCGGCTGTAATATCGTAATCGATCATCGGTTGGACCCAAGTAATCGATGATCGGTTACAATCGGTTACTCGGGGTGTTGAATGTCTGTGTGTGCGTAACGTCGTGTGCATGTACGTGTGTGCATGTATGTGCTTGTTTAGCCCTGTTTACTGTTTGTTTTGCACTGTTTACTACTGTGTGTATAATACATGTATGTTAATAAAGGATAACTTGTATAGTAGCGATGATATCTCTGATTCTTATCACTTTTTCGAATTTTATTTATTTATTTTTTTATGAAATTGATTATGGATTTTTATAACGAAGCGCTTGGTTCGAGCCACTGTTCAACCGATGATCGAGTATAATCGATGATCGTGACATCACTAAGCGCTTGGTTCGAGCCACTGTTCAACCGATGATCGAGTATAATCGATGATCGTGACATCACTATTGTATATGATGCAATACTTTGCTGAGGAAAAAGGAACCCGCTCTCGACATGATATCAACAGCTCAACAAGTGATGACGTCACCATAAATAATAAAAAAAATAAATAATATTTCCACTTTTTCACAAAATGTAAGTAATTCTGTTCACTTTTTATGGTTAAATTGCTGCATTATACTTCCTATTTTACTATATATTGTTCGATGTAAACATACACTCGTGACTCATACCAGCCGCCTCGGAATTAAGTGCACGAAGCGGGCAAGCGCAATTTTTTTGAGCGGCATGTCGAGAAATGGCCTTGAATTTGGTTCTCTAAAATGGATGGGCACCGAGGCAATTTTAAAAGGCACAAGCGCAACTCTCACAATTTGAGAAGGCACCAAAGGCACTTTTGCTAAAATAAAGGGAAACTCCATAACAAATCTAATACATCAACCTCTGCGCTAATGGAAGTACCAGATTAACAGGCGTCAACGTTAACTTTTTATTTTCACTAGGACCATCGGCGCTACTAACTGGAGGAAACCACTAAGCCCTGACCTAACTTTCACTAGCCCAGACCCAGACCATTGTTAATGAAATCTTTGTGTCATTCGTTATGCAATTCTACTAAAATTCTCTAAATTTACTGCACTATAGCAGCCCTACACACCGTACAGATCACAGCTGGCCATTCTTGCGCGAGCGTCGCGTACCCGCCGCTATAAATGCGCGCGCGGCCGAGTCCACGTGCAGCATTTTAAATATTCGTTATATGCTACACGGGCATACACAAGGCCGCACGATTATCGATCATTCTGACTGGCAGCCGGTTGGCAGCAACGCACGTTTACGCGTTATTGTTTTTTGGCCGGCAGGGTAGCACTGGAATCCGGCCTCACGCTCTGCTAGACAATGTACAGGCCACACGCTTTGCGCACAAACACGTGCCCGGCGCGAACCAGTCTAGCCAGCAGCACCGACGGCAATTACAGAAAAGGCAAGGCCAGCGCTGCACTGCCGTCGGGTCGGGTTGGATTTTCAGGGGCCTCGTACGGCGATTATAAGGGGCACCGCCGGCAATTTTGCCGTCGGTGGTGCCGTCGGTTAATTCGAGCCCGAACTCCATTACATAGCCATAGCAAAGCATTAACTGTCCAGGCATCACTAATATCAAAATCGTCTCAGGATTTTTATGCATTTTTTAACTAGTTGAGAAACAATCTTATCAGGTCGAGAATTTGATGCATACATTTAGTCCGTTTCGTACTTACTTTTAATGCTTACAATGAACATGTGTCAATGGACACTGTTAGCCTCACCACGAAAAGGACACAAATGAGGAGCTGAGAAGAGTTCATTCTTAAATTGAGAACCAATTCGAGCTACATATATAGAAACGACAAACTATATTATGCCGCGAGAACCCCCATATATACTCTGATAATAATGATGCCAATTTTTTAAATGTGAAATATAGAAATAATATTATATATAAATAATGAAATAATTATAAACCAAAATGAATCACAATTTGTGACGGTAGATGGCGCTATACCCGCTTTAATGTTTCTTAGCATAAATCATTATATCATAATAATAATAATATAATGATAATAGTATAAATCATAATATGTTCATAGCAAGAATTTTGCATTGAAGATATTGTCAATGAAATCTTGTAAAACGAACCAGACGAGTGTGCCACAACAGACTGTTTGTTATCTGCGCGTCTATATAATATGCTATATAATTGCCAAACCCTACCTAATTTGCATAAATTTTTTTAAATATCAAAACCCCTAGCCCTTATTCATTCACATATTAAAAATGAGCAAAATCCGTTGAACCTGAACTGACTAATGACAATTCCAATTTTTGCCAAAAAATTGCCGTGGCTCGAAAGTACGTCGACTGGCAGGCTCCAAAATAAGATGTTTAATATGGGAGCATAGCAGTAACAATTATACCCAATTTCAAACATGTGGGTCAAACGGTTCCTGAGTTATCGTTGACCGTAGCCAAATGTTGACGGACGGACGTACGACGACCCATGGCAATAGCTCAGCTTGACGATGTCAAGGTGAGCTAAAAATGGGCACAATTTTTTTACAAAAATACACCATAGAAAATTCGTGACGTAGTCAATTTAACTCACTATATTCAGCCCACAGACATAGCTATTCATTTCATCAAATAGAGCTGGCTTTTTTTACAACACTACAATTTGTACATGTTGCTGTGGATAGTGTCAGATTTTGGCATGACCATCATTGGCCCTGTTGTTTTTAACCATGCCATTGAACTTCTTTTGACTTTAGGCCAAAAGAAAATATAGGTGTGGTTACGGTTTCCCGACCGACCCTATTTATTCCCAGCTACCCTAAACATTTTATTCAGTTTTAAAAATTTAAAATTTAAAAAAATATTTTTTTTAATTTACAATTTTTTCAGTTCCTGCTTCAAAAGACACAACGCACATCCTTCGGACATGGTTCGTAAATAAAATATTTCAAGAAAATAAAATGTTTTCCCTACCTACCCTATTTTTTTTCGGCATGTAACGGTAACCACACATATATATTTTGTTTTGGCCTTAGGGTTAGCGGTTAGGTAGTGCACGTATTCCACCCTGCACACTGCTTACCTAAGAAACTGCCACCTCCACATTCTACCTATATGCTGAATTTCCTGCAGAAATTGTAGTGCTTTCATTGTAGAGTAAAATAGTTGGGTAAAATGTGCTAACAATAGTATTTTTACGCCCCACTAACTTCACACCCATGCAAAAAATTAAAGAGAGCTTTCTGCCATCGTTTTTTGTGGCCATTTGAACAGTGTAGATCGAACCCCCTAAAATGATATACGACGGCATGATGCCAGAAGATGCTCAGCAATTTGTGCATATTGTGAAGTTATTGGGAAAAACTCAAAAGTTATTCCATCGTTTATGACGGCCCTAGACCTGCCACTTCTGCAAGAAATTTAAGTGTGTCAGAGGTCAACAAGTAGTGAAGACTGTAGTTTATTAGGGGCGTGTTTGTTTGGTCGGATCCACAGATCTCGATCCACGGATCTCGATCCACTGGATCCGTGGATCTGACTGTTTGTTTAGTCGGATTCACGGATCTCAATCCACCGAACCCGACCCTGCTAACGAGGTGGATTTGAAGGGGATCCAATATGGCGGCCCGCGCCTCAGCCAATCACTGCTTGTTGTTTGTCAATATGGCGTTCAGTGGAAGGTCACATGCGTCTAAACAGAGGAATTGCTCCGACCTGTGATTGGAAAATAAAAATAGACCCTGCCCACTTTTCCATTTTTGGAGG